CTCAGTTTCCTGAAGCTTCAAACCATCTTGGTGAACCCTTTATCAAACGTCTTCGTTATATTCAGCAAAAATTTTCAGATAGTTAATTATCATCCCTAATACGTAATACTTTCACATTTTCCCTTTAATCCCAAAAGGGTTTTTCATTCCTTCTCACTGCGACCTGACCCGGGCAGTACAGCATGAGGATGCTATGTGCTCATCGATCATTAAAAATTATTATCAAATAAAATTATTCTTTTAATCGTAAGCAATTCTTAGCTCTTCCAGTCCCCAATCGACTACCTCTCTCCGACCTCCGAGTCTTTTTTTGGGGGCCAAGAAGATGCTAAGAACTTCTTACACTTAAATGGGCAACTGTGATATGATATAACAACTTGATTTAATTATGACCAATGAGAGTTAAGTATGTCGCATTATATATGTTAATAGCGTGTATTGTCAGTCTCTTTGTATTTGTTTTATATTATCAAAAGATAGATCAATACTTTCAAAGGGTATTTATAGTCAATAACTTGAAAGTCTACTGCATACCTTGTATCTACATGCTTGATGAATTTACTTGTGGTTGATTATGATTCTAACTGCTCTGTTCTCTATATTCTTAATAACACTATGCTGTCTAAGGGGCCATCGTCGGGAATCTAACTAATGGATTTATTCTTTGATGTGCTAATTCTATTGTTGATCACAGCAGTACTGTTCATTCTTAGAGTATCTCAAAACATATGCCTTTAATAAGAGATTTTCAAACTTGCAATCAAAGACTCTTCCAAAGTATAGCAACAAATTAATATAGCGATTCTCTTTTTCTTTTTTCAAAAAGATTCTTTCAAAAAAGATAAAGACTAAGATCAATATTTCGATTCCAAAAAAGGATGAACATTCAGATCAAAGGTCCAAAAAGGGTTTTTATTTTTAAAAAAATTACTCCAATGGCAATTCTCTATAGTCAGACATCAAATAAGCGCCTCTCTTGATCAAGCATTTTTCTGTTTTAGGATTCCAAAAAGCACATTCAATTGTTCTTCGCCAAGTGTTTGGATGACTCGCCCCCTTTCCAGCATAAGAAAAGTCAATATGGCCAGCATCAAAGTATGTTTTAATACAAAGCCCATTCTTGCAGCTCTCATTTCCATCAGAATACATTTTAACACCTTTTCCCCAGCTAAATTCTTTTCCACCATTTATTGAAACCGAATAGTAAATGGTTTCATCATAATTATTAGGCCATTGAGAGATCTTGAATCTAACCCAGTTGTTGTCACAATTTACATAGGCAAACAACGTGAAAAGAGCAACTAAAAGTAATTTATACATTGATGGTGTTCTACTTGTTATTTATTTTCTTTTTTTTTTTCTTATTTATATCTTTTTCAAAAAAAAAAAAAATCAATCAACTCAATTATAGAATAACTCGTTCGACAAGAATAACGATGGTGATCCCGGTAACTAACAGAAAAGAATGAAAGTTCTGTAGTATTTGAAGAGATACACTATGTAGCATCAGTTACATTAAAGTCTATATTTAATTCTTGGAGTAACTTCAATCACGGCACACCAATAGCTTTCTTGTCAGCTTATTAGATCTGACTTAAACTGCGCTTTGGTACAACTGGAGAAATACACACGTACAGAAAGGCTCAGGAGAAGTAATAACTTTCGTACGATCTATTGGGTTAAGCTAATGGTGAGATAACTTGAGGTAGATTTAAGTAAGACAAACGACAGAGACAAACAAGTATTTGTGAGAATTCATTTGTTCCTGAGTAATGGGATAATAGAAAATACAATGAAAAAGAGGGTTCTATTTGTACTGTTTGATCTGGGCTAAATCAAGGCACGATATAGTTCGTTCTGCTACGGCTACGGTTAAAACAGCGGTGCCTGGCTTACTGCAATGATCTGGATGATCGTGTGGTAATATTAAAACAAGAGACAATAAGGTACAGTAAGACTGAATTAATCCTTTTTATTGATAAAGAATGGCTCTTATTTATACTATTCAAGTTTACTGTAGGATTATAGTTGATGTGGGTCTAACAGTTGTTCTGGAGTATAATAGCTTAATTAAGAGTTTTCTAGTTTTAGTACTGTGACATCCGAATCAAGAAATGATGTTTTGTGCTAGTAAGTGTTATTGTAAGGGTAGCTCCCTTAGTTTCAATAAGCGTGAATTATGTTCGAAAATGACACCTTTTATTAGAAGTGAGTGGAGGAGCTCATTAAATCAAATGTAATCTCACACGTAAAAATTAATATTAGATATGGTCAAATACGACAACTACATCCACCGGAAAATAGACTAATCCTACGGGCAATTCTTCTTCTAGACACTGTATGTAATGTAGTGGAATATCCTTTGATGTAAGTTATGCATTTATCATAGTTACAGGTCATTGATCTTGGTTCATTATTGATAGAACTAACAGCAAAAAATTAAAACAAGGCAATAACCACATTTCTTTTTTATCTTGTTCTTCTTTAAAAGAAATAAACCAAGATGGCAACTCTATAAAGTCGTGTTTAGCGTGGCGTCACACATCCAAAAGTTTTGTTGGTCAACATCACAGGTAGTGAGTAGAGATAACGCGCGTAAAATCAGTCTAACTTTTGGTTTATTTTCTAGTGCATATAATGTTTCTACCATCATCACACAATAGAGCCTTGTATTGGAAGGACTATTGAATAGTCTAATGAAAATGGTAAACATTTAAAATAGTATGCCTTGTGTTACAACATTTTAAACCTCTTCTAGCTAATATATTTACAATATTCAAAAGACTCGCAAGAGCAAAGCCGAGAAAACAAAAAAGAAGTCTATTTAAAAACGTAAATATTGCTTATTTTTCTGGTTTTTCACTCTTAAACTTAAAAACATTGTTTTGATAAATTCTTTGCAGGAATAAAATCGTTGATCTGAATGAAACAATCGAGGGGTTCGTTACTTGGAAAATCGGATGAGGAAGACAAGGCGACTTTTTTGGCGAATTGTACGAAGCCATTGAAGTTCAAAAAGTACAGTTTGAGTTTTCCATTGAATGCCATTTAGAGTAATTTAGCGATCTGTCGTATCCGAACATAATTCACGCTTATTGAAACTAAGGGAGCTACCCTTACAATAACACTTACTAGCACAAAACATCATTTCTTGATTCGGATGTCACAGTACTAAAACTAGAAAACTCTTAATTAAGCTATTATACTCCAGAACAACTGTTAGACCCACATCAACTATAATCCTACAGTAAACTTGAATAGTATAAATAAGAGCCATTCTTTATCAATAAAAAGGATTAATTCAGTCTTACTGTACCTTATTGTCTATTACTATTTTTATATTATCACAAAAGGATAAAATAGAGACTCATCACTTCTTTGCTTTTATTCTATACATTACCGAGCGCTAACAACGACTACAACCACTACTACAACCAATACCTCAGTAGTGTTGGCCTTATTCTTTCGTAAAAAAG